TTCCCCCTTGGCTCCTGGAGCGCCTCTGCGCTTGGTGGGACAGGGATCTGTTGCACGTTTCCTTGCAGATTTCTGTCCAATAAAGGGCCATGCTGCAGCGTGTCGGACCCTCGCTGATTAGGAAATGACTTTCTGCTCCTGCCTGTGTGAACCATCACCCTTCCCCTGCGCTAATCCTGATTCCCAAACATGTGGCAGTCTCGTGTTCAGACATTTTGGTTGGCACATGTGTAGATGGAAATGGGAACGCGTATGTCTACATACCACTGTGAGTATCCAAATAAAGGCTCTGCTGTCCTATTTGTGCCCATGTTTGACCATTAGGACAAAGCGTTCAAAGCCAGGCAGCACTGCGGAGCAGAGCCGTGCCATCTGGGGGCGGCAGCTAGATGGGAACATGCCCAAATGCAAAAATTCACATATCTGTGCTTTTAAACTGAGAAGGTAAACACAGATAAATGCTGTATGGGAACTGGCAATTTTCCTTGCGTGAAGCCCTCTTCTTGCCCTGATATCAAATCAAGTCACTATCAAAACATTTCAGTCTACCATGCAAAAAAAAAAAAAAAAGCTCTGAAAATACTCAATTTCTAGTCAGTCACAACAACCCTTACTGGTTTTGACTTGCAATAAGGAAGCCAGTCCTGTTAAGTGACAAATAGAAGTGTTCCAGCCAGTTCTGCCTTTCTTCATCCCACACAGAAATATGTTACTTTATTTTTTTTTACCTCTAACAGAAATTTCCCCCAAAGTGATGCTTTCTTGCAGGAAGGTGCTCGCTTGTGAAAATCAAGTAATTTCTGTATGATCCTGGGCATGGGCTTCCATTGAGCTCAACATATGACTATTTCTTTCAAAATATCGGTCCTGGCTGTGAAGTAGGTCAAACGGTAAGAAGGTGCAACGCAACTGGGATGAACAGTTGGGTTTGAGGGTTAGATGGGAAGAGGGAGTAACTCTTTAGCACAGGCACCCTGGCAGCTCAGTCTTCCCAAATCATTAACCAAGTGTGGCTCACAGGCATTAATGAATAACTTATTTGGATTGATTTGCATTTTCTTCACTAAATCACCGTTATTTTAATAATGTCTATGAGGAGTGGTGTGGATGCTGTCCCCAAAGTGCATTTTGCTCAGGACATGGGTCAATTTTAATGACACTTCCGGTGAGAGAAGATGTGATGGCCTCTGGTGTGGGCTCTATCACCCCTTTAAGAGACACACAGACAGGGACAGAGAGCAGGAGACTGTTATACTGGCAACGTAAGAAATCCAAACTCATTGGAAATGACCATTTTGATGTGATCCCACCTTGTGGAAGCTCTCAGTAGGTTTTATTTTGTTCTGCACTGGAGGAAAATTAAGCTTCACAGCCTCTGAAGGTTTCATGAAATGTCGTTGCTGTTTTCAGACCAACTTCAGCTACAATTTTTCAGTGGGACTCTTCTGTCCATCCAGGTGTCTCTGTGAGCATAAGGATTCTGCCACAGGGGGGAAAAGTACCTGCTTCAGATCTCGGTTTTTCATTCGCTGAGTGGGTCTTCTGAGAAATGCGGCTTTCTCATGAGGACACAGTCACCTCTTTGTCACTGCTGGCTCTTGATTTTGTAATGCCTGTCAGGAGGACCGCATTTGGAGGCCATTACGAAATTCCCTCCGTCTGCTTCCAATCAAACCCCACATTTCTAGTTAAAGACTATGGACTTTAAGCCCTTCTTCATTCCCAAACTGTTCTGCTCTGTCTCTCCCATCTCTACATGGGCAGCATCCCCCAGTCCCACTTTTCCAAGAATTAGAGTCTTTGGTTTGGTACTAATAAATCCTTTTGCTCTTTTTCCTTCCTGGACAGAAATTAAAATTCCACTTGCCGAGACATCGAGAAGTTCGAGACACACACCAGCGATGCAACTGCCCAGCAGGTAAGGGTCTGGGATGACTGGCACTTTGGAAGGGCCTTTTTCATCTTCATCTCGTTGAAAGCTTTTTTAATGTCGTGTGGTATCTGAATGCAAAATTACGCGTACTTGCGTAACAGTGTGCTTGAGGTATAGGAAATCCATATGGACATGTGTGTAACCAGTTGGGTGCGTATGTAAATACTCCACATATGACAGAAACAGCAGGAAAAGCGATAGATATCCAGATAGACATCTAGATAGTCAATAAAAAGATAACGATACATCTAGAGGGCAAATGTTCCCATTTATTTTAGACATCAGTTTTGAAGTGAGCAGAATGGCTCTTGGGAAGTGCATCTCTCTTGGCTGATTTGAGAAGGTTTGAGATGCATAGGCTAGACCCAACACCAAAGCTGGACAGCTAAATTTTGGTGAGCCAAAGTGCCTCTGGGTTGAGAAGATTTGAATTCCTTAGTGTTATACAACTATCTGAGGCATCTTGCAGAATAACAGCCTACTGTTAGAAGCGGCCATTTGTCAGGGGGTTGAGTGAAGTGGTCACTCAAGGTCCTGCTCATATAATATACAGAAATATTATGGGATTGCTTAATTGCATTATGGTTTTAATCATGCTAATATCAAAAGGCTCTTTGAGACACATCTTCTGAAGTGGTTTCAATACAATAAGTGACAAATTGCTATGGAAAAAACATTTGTGAATGGCATTTCATTCCACTACTATGAATCACGCAGCCTTCCTCATTGTCTTTTGATGTATTTGTTTAGAAAAAAATAGAGAAGTGCCAGCTACGACTCACATCCAAAGTTGATGAAGTTTTGGGCAACTTTAAATATGTATATCCAAACTGAGTAGCTGAAAAGGTCATCTTGAAAAGAGGCAGGGAAAGTTGTGTCCGAATGAGCATCTGAAAACAGCATTTCCATTTTCTGTGGTTTCAGTGTGAGGTCTTTGACAGTGTCTGGTGGTGTGCATATCAAAGTGTATTTAAGTATGGTCGACAGTGGGATAGTGGTGGATGAAATGATGAATTTGTCTTTGCTGTAGGTGATGTTGTCTCATAGTGTATTTAGACCTGTGTACAGACATAGGAGGTACAGTCTCTTGTCAGACTAAAATGGATCTGGAAGGCAGTAGCTTGTAAAAGCAAGAGGTAAAGCTATACAAGTTTGTGATGGAAAGAACTAAAATCCAGGATCTATACTTTGGATACACTGGAAAATGCCTGATTTGACTAGTCCAGATCAGGACTGTTGGATTTTTTAGTCCCAGAAAGAAACAACAGGAACTATTTTTGTTTAAATTTAAAAGGTGTAGTACAAATGAAGTGTTTCCTAAGTATTTATTTTCTAATGATCAGATCAAAACTGAGTTGAACTGTTTTAAAATTTAACCTTTTCCCTTCAATGAGAATACAAATCATAGCACTACTCCGTTTTCAAGTTCCTGCCTAGACTTGACATATAAATGCCATAAAACCACAGGAATGAATATCTTCCTGGTGTTTCTGAGCCAGCTTGGAGAAGGAAACTTAGAACTTGAATGCAGAGCAGAAAAAAAAAGAGGTTCACTGATTTTTAAGGCCATCTGAATGTGACCCCCTACACCATGTGTGTGATAGATGAATCACCCAAGTATTTCAGCATGAAGATCATAAATACTTGGTTACAGATACCCACATCCCTGGTGAAGACTCAGCAGCAGTGGATGCTGGATTTCTCATAAAGCTTAGGTGCTTGCTCATTCCATTAAGTATTTCTGAAGCACAGCTTTGATTCAGGAGATCAATAATAATAAATGTCTCAAAGGTTCAGATTTCCTTTTTACTTGTCACGCTTGCTTGCCTTCATCAAATATCCTATGGACACAGAAACTGTTTGTAAAAGTTTCCCCTACCCTGCCAGCTAATCTGTTGAGGGAAACGGAGCTATGGTCCTAAGCTGATGTTGTGGCAGGTGAGGTCTTGAGTGGCTTAGGGCAGTGCAGAAATGAAGGCACCTTCAACTAGCTGTTGTCTTATCTCAGACCCTTTGCTCTGAGGTGTTTCCTTTTGGTCTCCAGATTGGTGCAACTCAGGCCACCAGAAAGCACTGTTGTGCTGTTTCAACATGGTCTTTCTTCCAATTTGAGACCTTGGGAATCTTTTTCCCCAATGCATTTTTCCCCTTGTGTTTAAAATGCCCTAAGGACCAGAGGATGTGACCCTTGCGGGAGACCAAGGTATTCAGAAGCACTGAGAAGCGTCAAGATGTTGCAAGACTTGGCGCATGCCTGTTGCTTCTCACTGTCCCACTCCACTGCTTATAAACACATCATGTTCCTCACCAAAAATAAATGTTTATCAGAAGTGACATTTGAGTTCATCCCTAACTGTGAGCCAGGTCCCTGCATGGCAAAGAAGGGGAAGAGGAAAACAAGTTCATTTACTGACCTGTTCAGTACAGATGTGGAGGTCCCAGGCAGGGTCAGCCATTGCCATAGAAGAGCTTCAGGACACAAGGGATTGTGAATGTAAACGGCTTGGAAAAGCTGGGCATAGGGGAGCAAGACAATTGAAGTGTGTGACTGTGCTGCGGCTATCTGAGCGCATGTGATAAGGACCATAGGAGTAACATGGTCAGGAAAACAACGCAGCTGTATTTATAGCAAGCGATAAGGAAATATAAGTTTCCTTCAGCTGGAAAGCTGCTACTTCATGTTGCTGGGGCTCACTACCTGTAAGTGAGATGTTGCTCCTTGGCATTGTGTTTCTTAAGCTTGGAGGTCACAATGGGCTTCTCCAGTAGTGTCTCAGTGGGGAGGACACAACCTTCCTGGGTAATTAATGACTCGGTTCTCTTCATCTGAAAACCTGTGTGATTCCTTCTGTCCCCGCTGTCTGCCACACTGATCTGGGACAACTATGTACAGTTTGGGAAAGGGCCCTGAAGCCTCAACGGCAGCAATGACTGTACCCAGCTATTCACCAGTCCCAGACGCGCCATACCAGGGCCAAGTGTGGACAGGGAGCTCAGCACAGGTTTTGATCCAAGGTCGCTGTGTGCTAGGATGAGACTTGAGGAGTTTTTCTGGGGTCGAGCAGATGCTGGTGGGACCATGGGTCTGATTTCTAGGTGTGAGCCTCCCCTCATCACTTTTGCTCAAATGAGGGAAATGTTTCTGTTCCGTATGGGATCTGGATGTGGCTGAGAGCCTGGGAGAGCTACCTGAGGCTGGAGGATCCTCTCACAGCCAACTGACCTCCCTTGAGTTCTGCCACACAATAACAAAATGCTGTGAGGGAAAAGCATTGTGTTTCAGGCTGACAGGGTGAAAATGTAAGCTTTCCTGGTCTAATCCAGACCCAGTTGCAGATCCAGACCCTGTCTGCCTGGACAGTCTCAAAGAGCCGGGGATTACCACCAAACCCCCCTCCCACAGCCTTCCTGGTGGAGGTGAGCGCTTGTGTATTTTATATACTGTGACTTTCCCATCTTCCTCTCTTCAGCTCCTATTTTCACAGTCCCTACGTGGCTGTTTTTCACTTTGCCGCCTCTCTGCTCCAGTCTCCAATATCCCTTAAAGAAAAAAAGAAAAGGCTGGCTCCTTTTCCTCTGCCCCCACAATGCTTGTTTTGGTCTGGTTTCTCCTTGGGCAGGTTGGGAGTCTGCAGTGCTGGAGGCTGTCAGCCGTGCAAGCAGGGAAGTGGCTCAGAGGGATGCCGAATGGCTTTTCCATCCTTCCCTGCGGCAGCACGCGGGGGCAGAGGAGTGACTTGGGCTGCGGGAGGAGACAGCTCCAGCCCTGTGGGCTCCTGGGGATGGGCAGTCAGAGGGAGGTTGCACACCTCTGCCACAAAGCTGATGTGCCTTCTGCTGTTACAGGGGCTTGGGGGCTGGTGTGGGGCAGCTGCAAGGATTTTGGCATTGGCCAGGAACTGGGGTACTCTTGGGAATGTCTTTGAGGCTTTGCAAGGGAATGTCCCCTGGGCATTTCTCTTGTACAAAACTTCACCCATGTCCCCTATCTGCCCCAGCCGGGGGTGCAGGAAAAGCAGCTTGGCCACTCTCTTCAGCTCTGATTGACCTTACAGAAATACCAGCAGGAGCTGCTGCAACTCAAACATTGCTGCTGTTTCCCGTCTTTCAGGGTGGCCTGCGAGAGCAAAGGTGCAGCAGTGGCCCCACTTGCACCCCTGGGCTGTGGGCCACAGGGTGTGCACACTGGGTGCAGGCATCCTGCTCGCCCTCTGCTCACCCCTTCCAATGCTGACTGGACCCCTTGGGACAGTGGCAGCTGCTGGAGGGGGCCAGCAAGAAACGGCACGGGGCTGCAGCGGGGCTTTGGCTCCCACCCAGGATGTGTCACCCAGAGCCGGCAGGGCCAGCTGGCAGGA